CCACCACAAACTCCATCATTATGGTCTTTCCTTCCCATCTAAATGTACTTGTAAAGAAACTTTCCTGTCTGACTACCCAGTAGCCACTCTGGTAGCTACACTCTCACCTCCAGGATTGTAATTACTAGGACCAAGGACCCTTTACAGCAGGCACCTCCAGTGACCAATGGGTGCCCCACTTGACTCCCTGGACACCCCACACTCACACAGTCAGACAAAGTTTCCTTATTGGCTCAATGCTCGGTTTCCCGTAGCAGAGTCTCAGATATCTGGATTCTTTGAGTAATTTAGTCATTGAGCAACAACAGAATAACTGCTTGAGATAGTGCTCCTGGGGAGGGACACCCAACAAAAGGGATCCTGGGAATTTTGTACTCTTTCAGTCTGTGTATGCAATAGTCTGAGGCCTTCCTGCTGTGTTATTGGGTCCTGCTGCGTCCCTAAGTGCCAGGTCACCTGGCCTATGCCACAGGTTCCCATGCCCTTTGCTGTGCTAAGGGTTGGCACCAGGTCACAGCCCCTGGCCTGAGTCTCTCACTGTTTTCCCTCACCCAGGACACAACCTGCAGCTCACATTGCAGCTGCACACCCAGGCACCTTCTCTAAATCATCCACCTATACTTAGGTGGGGTGGGCTGATACCACTGAGCACACTTTCTCCACTCTTCAAAACCTTTTTGCATGCTGGGTCAAGTGTTCATCTGTCAGGGGATGGGGGCACACGGACCATGGCTGGGTGTGAGAGGGAAGGGATGTTGGGGGCATTAAAAGTGGAAGCAGAGGGCCAGCAACAGCTTTTGGTCCTATCACCTTTAGTATGGGAGCAGTCAACGAGCTTTTCCAGTTTTAGAGCAGGGCTCTGTCCAGAGTGAGAGTATGTGGTGGTAAAACATGAGAGTGGGAAGGAAAGCATATAGTCCCAGTGTTGGTGGGATACTTTATTTAGAAAATAATTCTGGAAATAATGCACCTACCTAGAAGCATAGCTACAAAATTGAAAACCTCCAGCGACTACACAGACAGAAAACTGTTGGCCCTTACCTTCCCCTTGAAGACTATAAACTGCACAACCAACACTGAAGTTATGCTCCTTCCTTCCCACTAAACGCACCATCACGTTATTTACTCTGGGCAGAGCTCAGCTCCAAAACTGAAAATGTCCAGGCACTGCTCCCACTCCAAATTTGCCGGGACAGATGGCTCTTGCTGGCCTTTACCTTCCCACTGTCCCTGTTTCATAGCACCACTAGATGGAGTGATGCACTTGCTTATCAAACTCAATGTACCCTGGAACTACGTCGAACCAAACATTGCTCCAAAATGGAAAATCACTAGGTGTCAGAACAAGCAGAGAGTTCTGCTGTTGGTTGGGGCTGTGAGTAAGCATCAAAGGGCAGCAACAGCTGTTAGTCCTGACCCCTTCTTTATGGGAGTCCTAAGCTGAAGGTTTTGTCTTTTGGACCAAGGCTCTAGTTAGAGTGAGGCAGTGGTTTAGGAAAGCGATTAGGAAGAGGCATAAGGGCAGAAGCTTGGTGTTGGTAGGGCCAGGAGCCAAGGCCACCCAGAAAAGCACATGGAGACACCAGCACACATAGAAAGGCCCAAGGAAGCCCATCGGTCTCAACAAGAGGCACTTTGAAGCTCTGGGTCTGCACAGAAAGTGATAGTGAGGGGTGTAAAGTGAACAAAAGAATACACGGAGGTCCCTGAGCTGTGACAAAGGGCACTTAGAGGACCCTGAGGTACACAGAATGGCATTTGGTGCTCAGAGCCACACAGAAAGGGACACAGAAAGAGATGAACACACGTGGTGGTGTCACTCCCTCCTGCCCCCTCATTCCCCCTACCTCTCACTCCCCACATCCCCTTTACTTCTCACTTAAGCCATAACCACAAGTGGGGATTGTGATGGCTGTATCCAGTTTACTCTGGCTTTGGGGGCAGATGGCAATGTGGTAGCCAAGGGCTGCCTCAAATGGTGAGCCAGATGTCTGTCGGGTATGGAACTATGAGTATAATCTTACTTTATAAGCAGTGGACAACCCAGGGCCAGTTGAGCTCTCCTGTACATCATCAGGCTGCACACCAGGATCTCCTCTTGAGCAGGGGAGCCTCTCAAGAGTTTCCTTGAGAAACTTTCTCTGGCTGAGAGTTTCCTTGCTCTGGGTAAGTGATTGACAGCACACTAAACTTTGAAAGATATGTAAAGGATTCATTGTGCATATTTATAGTCCTAGAGATAAAAACTATTGATCAAGTCTGAGACTAGGATTGGATCCAGATGCACCCAAACTCCTCTCTAAGAAGGAGTTTAGAAAACAAGGGGGCCCTTTCTGAATTCATGATTCAATAGGAGAGTCTCCCTGACTGTTTTGTCTGACCCAGCCTCTCATGCAGTAAATAATCATAGAATCATATGGTTTGGGTTGGAAGAGACCTTAGAGACCATCTAGTTCCAACCCTCCTGCCATGGGCAGCTACACATTTCACGAGCAGACACACCTTCCACTAGACCAGGTCTCCAGTCCTCAGCACAAGAAACACATGGAGGGGGTCCAGAGGAGGGCCATAAAAATGACCAGAGGGCTGAAGCACTTCTCCTACAAAGACAGGTTGAGATAGCTGGGATTATTCAGTCTGGAGAAGAAAAGGCTCACTGCAACCTTTCAGTATTTAAATGGGGCTTACAAAAATGAAGGAGAACAACTTTATGCAGAGCTGATAGTGATAGGACAAGGGAGAACAATTTTAAACTAAAGAGGAGAGATTTAGATTAGATAATAGGAAGACATTCTTTACTTCGAGAGTAATGAGGCACTAAACAGGTTGCCCAAAGAAGATGGGGATCCCTGGAAGTATTCAAGGCCAGGTTGGATGGGGCCCTGAGTAACATAATCTTGTGGGTGGCATTTGTGCCAATGGCAGGGGATTGGAATGAGATGATCTTTAAGGTCCCTTCCAGCCTAAGCTATTCTATGATTCTATGATTTTAGGAGGTAAATTTTATTTTGAAAGTACTCATCCCTCAGTTCTATGTCCTCTTATAGACTAATTTTATGTGGAGTTTAATGTCCCTGTTTTGTCTGTGGTTAATGATTTTTTCTTTTAGCAAAGTAATAGTGTTTTATTGGGAAATAGGTGCTGCAATAGTGCTGCAATAAAATTTGAGCATTTTTCACAGTATGCCCTTTATACCCTATCCATATCTTAAAGGAATTTATCTTTCAAGAAGAATGTATGATGCTCTTAGGCAGACAAAAAGAAATAAATGGTTGAAAAACAGGCATAAAATGAAGATATCCATAGATGCATAATTTTCAGAAGAACCCTCAGTGATAATCATCTCTAATATGAATTTTGCAGCATTTGATGGGTAGAGGTGAAGTCAGGACATGATGCAGGTTGTACAGTCAGTAAGAGCCATCGCAGCCATTCCCCACTAAGTAGTGTAGTAAGGTACCAACCTAAAATGTTATTGCAACAGTACTTAATTGCATAATTCCAGTTCTTAAACCAAATGCTTTCTGTAAAACACAATTGTTATTGCAGACACGGCCACAGTTTTCTGATTTTCAAGAAGAAGACTTTTAGGGCTAAAGAACAAAGGAACTCAACAATGAACTCAGGTTATGTGGAATAACATGCTGCAAAGACATCCATCGGAAAGCAAGACCAGAGCCCCATCAAAACTCCCTGAAAGCCACTTGTGGTTAGCCTAAAATTGTTGATGGATTTAGAGTTGCTTAAATTTGTAATGTGTAAAAACCAATGTCCGTAATAACTACCAAATGCCTATGATGCTTTCAAAAAACACAATTGAATTTTCCCATATCATCCTTCATTCTAACCAATTTACTTATTGCAAAGTTAAGGTAGGGAGCAACTGAGGGCACTTACTGCATGTTAATTTTTATTGGTATATGTAAAACTGTATGTCATAGGCTGCTTTGAAGAATTAAACATATGGTTGTATAGATGTGGGCAAAAGTTCTATAAAAACCTTGCCACAAATAATAATTTGCATTTTAAAATTAATCTACTTCAGCAAATGCTTATATTCTTTCCGGAACTGCTTCTTCCAAATGCATAAGTTACATGAATTCACCTTCATGAGGGTTAATAGAAGAAAAATTCAAACTTCTATGCATGCAAAGTTGCAAAAAGTGACCTTGGATTTCAGAGGAGTTAATATTTCCATCAAAATTCTTTATAATAAAAATTATATTAATTCTGCTATATAACAGAATTGATATAATGTGAACAATAGCAACTCACCAATACAGCACAAAGAACAGTGATAAATAATTGCAGTGAACTCTTTTTTGGCTCAAAAAACTAAATATACCAAGCATATATAGGTTAATATAATTGCACAGATGACATCAATAGACAAGGAAGATAGCTGCTTGATAAATTCAGAATAGTCTTTTTTCTTTGTTAACTTAGTTGACTGAACCAGTTAAATCCAGATAAATATAGAGGACTGAATTGCTCATTTTGAACAACATATTGAATTCTAGCATATATGAGAAATGCAATGGTTTAGGGTACATTGGATAAGAAAAGTGTTTTTCTTATGAAATGAAGGAAAATTTTCTGTGTTACTCCAAAGTATAGGAACCTAACTGGAAGATGTACCTAAACAATTTCTTTTAAATGGCAGTGAAACAGGGTAGAATTTAATACTTCCCAGTGGACATACTGACTAAGACAGAGAGAGGCAGGGAGTGTTTAAACATCAACATTAATCCTAATCTCTTGAGGAGCAGTAAAGGGGTACAAGAGATAGTGCTTGGCAGAAATCATGAAGGGGAGGACAACTCCAAATCTCAAGTGCTGTTTTTGTTGCTCTAGTCTGTCTTTTGAAGCAATCTGCAATGAGTTCAACCAGACCGACAGAGGGGAGAGAGGGAGCAGAAAAACTCTCCCTCAAGTATCCATTGCAGCTTTATAATTCAGGATGTGGCACATTCTGTACTGAGAAGGAAACAGGAGGCAATTCAAATCTTGTTCTCCTGCCATCCATGGGCATGCTTTCCAAACTTGTACACCAGCCTTCTGTCCACTCGTTCCAAAATGCCCGTTTTGTAATAGTAACTGCAGAGGAAAACCAGAAAAGAAACAATGGACAAAGTAGTAGCAGAAGTCACAATAGAGAAGTTTTTCACGTGGACTTCATGACAGCAGAACAGTATGTGAATCGCTGTGTTCTTTACAGTCAGAGAGCTCCTCTCTTTCTGTTAAATTGCTCTCAAGACTTTAAACAGGTTTAAACTTTCCCACATGCCTTGGAGTATGCCTTCCACTGTTTGAAAGATGCAAGAATTACAAAGAACTGTGATCTTTGATTTGTTGTACTTTTCCCCCAAGGTCATCACAGTTGAGAAGAAACCATCAGTGTTACTGGAACAGCAAAAAGAGAAATTTTGGGGGGGTTGCTTGGCAAATATAGTGTAACATTCTCAACTGAGATAAAGTGTGATTACTTTGTTGTCATCAACAGTTACAACTCCTGATATTCCATAAGATGAAATACAGGAACTCACCACAAATGCCTGAAGCTTCTAGGAACTCTTCCTGGGTCATGTTGCATAACTGCAAGCCGTTGATAATAAAGTGGGGAAAGGAAATGCAGTTGGCATCTAATTTGTACTGGTCACAGCAAAACTGCAACCATTCACAGACGTTGTGCTCACTCCAGTATTCTGGGTGGATAGATGTCCAGAAAGAATTAGGATCTGCAACATATTTGACAAGAAAAAGGAATATTGCAATGAAAAATTCATGGTGCACTTCATTTTAATAAACACATTTCAAACAAAACTAATCCTTCTTCCTTCTCCTGACTGCAGTTTTCCTTCCTTATTCCTCTCAAACACATCAAGCCCTGTTTTTTGCATTTTTTGCTTCCTATTGTACAGCCTTTTGTATTTCATCCTGTGTGAGACATTTCAAGCAAAAGTGCTTATGTATGGGAAGAAAAGAAAATGTGCCTCTTAATACTGCAGTCAAAAAAATTTAAAAAGTTAGAGTACAGGATTTGTGAGAATTGAGCACTCTGTAATATAAAGAAGTGACGTATTCCTAGACTAAAATAACTTCGGTCTTAGATGTGAAAACAGTCAAAGCCACCTAGTTACGATTTGTGGCAGACAGGTAAATAACATTAATTTATTACATTTTTTTCTAAGAATTCCAGCAAGTTCTTTCATTTATTTTAACTAAAATAATGTTAATGTCATCATAGGGAATATTTGTTTTGTTAGATCAGAAAATGAAAAACATACTACTCTGAAAACACATCACTGGACAAAGAGCTTCCAAGTAAACTTGCTAAGCAGTTGTAACCTAAAACTACTTTGCCAATTAAATTCCAAATTTTTTTAACAGGCTTCTTTCTGTCCTTAGCAGTGCAGTTACCAGGAAAATGTACAGAAATATGCATATATTTGCAATAATTTTTTCCCCTAGAAAAATGTATTACTGATCTTATGTCTAGGTCTGGTATGATAAATCTATATAATACAGTTAACAAGCATAATCTGCGATTTAAACACTTTTTTTTTCTAGAATTGAAACACAGGCTCTTATTATTGAATCTTCTTGGGTATAGTGATGGGCACACTTTTTCAAAAACTCTGCTTTTTCTTTCCGTGAGCTAGACTGCTACATACAGGCAAAAGTCTGATCTTACAGTCTTCTGCTGGATTCATGTGCAGCTACCTTTTTTGGGTGATTGTAAGAAGCAGAGGCAATGGCAAGGATATGTCCTTTCTGCATCCATTCAAATAACATTTAGTGAAAGCAGAATTCAAGTATACATCTTGGAATCATTATTTTCATTCATTCGTTACTCAATTTTCTTCTATTCTTTTTAAGGATGATTAGTAATTTCAGTTGAGATTCTTAAGCAGTTACAGGGATCCAATCCTGATCCTTACTTTAGGATCTTTAAGGATTCTAAATTAATTTTGAATATATTATCTGTAATACTTATATCACTGGAGTGGAGCAGTTGCAGAACAGTAAATAGCAAAAGAAAGGCAATCAAGCATGTGAATGAAAGTAATGTGGAGAAAACAGAAAAGGTTTAGTTCATTTTCACGTCCCACAGCATCTTACACTTGATCTGTATTTCACAGTTTCTTAGTCCAGTTATCCATTATTTATTATTTCATTTTCAAATAAGTCCTGAATATTTGATTTTAGGGATTGCTTATATGAAATTGTAATAATTTAATATAGGTTATGATAGCACTGCAAGTCGAGTGAATAGCATCTGTCTGTCTAGACAGCCAGTTCAGAGTGCAAAATGATGCAAATAGGCTGGAAGAGTTTCGACAGTAAAATTAATTCGAAGGGCTTGAAATTGTGACAGAATAACTGTAATATGGATCTTGCATCCTGCATGACTTCTGTAAAGTAATTAATACTTCTAATTACTTTAATTACAACTCCTAAAGGTTTACAGAGGAATTTGTGGTTGCTTTCATGAATCATTCCCATGCTATAAATATCTTCATATGTATGCACATATAGGATTAATGTAATACTGCATACTGTGTTTTAAACCCTGAGACGCTACTGTGACATTGTAGCAAAGCCAAGAGGTGGGCAGAAGCTCTGGGTCTGACTTTTGGGACCCATACCTTTAGGATATTTGAATCCCAGATTTATTCACCTCCTTAGTTAGAAGGAAAATCAGAGGAGCTTGCCATTGGATTAACTTTATAAGCCCTGCAGACTGAACACACCTGGCTATGTCAGAGTCTGAAGGCTTCTGTGGGGGAGAATGGGAGTGCTGGGAGCAGCAGGCTCACAGGCCTTCTGCCAGGTAAAAAACAAAAGTTTTAAAATTAGGATATAGCTCTACTGGAATCCCAACTTCAGAGGCTGCTCAAGAGAAGCAGAAAGTTGAATTGATCCTTTTCTGAATCAGGCATATTTTTATTTTTTTTTTTTAATCCTCTGCCAACAGCCTCCAGCCCCCCTTAGGAAAACTGGAACATCATCATGTCCTTATCTAGACAGATATACCAGGAGATGGGTGTCCCTGTGGGGCTGGGCACAAATCCAGCCCTGTGTTTCAGGGGCTGCTCTGTGACCTGCTGCCACAAGCCAGTCTAGATCCTTTCCCCATATCTGTGTGCAATACACAGCTGAGTGAAAAGGTCATGGCTTCCCTTTTCTATCTACAACTTCACTTTTCTACCTACAACTTCACTTTTCTATCTACAAGAGTGGTGAGTTGCTAATTTTTTCCCTATCTTAAGGCAATATGAAAGAAAAGCTGAAGTATTTATTCTACCAATTCACAGGTACAGTGAATAACCTTGAAATACTTTGGCCATTGGGCTTGAAACTTTGACTTTGTTTTGATAAATATCATATTCTCTGGCAGGATTTGTATTGTCATATAAATGACACAGCATGTTTTATTCATGGAACAGCACTCATGTAGTCCAGTTTCTGTGTTTCCTTTGGTTCTGGAAAGGCTCAAATCATTCTTTTAAAATATGCTATGGTCCCTTGAAGTACTATTGTATATGTCGAGCATTTTAAAGGTGCTGACACCAACACCTCACCTTTGCATGTGCTCATGCCTTTTCTACCTCATATCAGAGTAAAGAATTCAGGGAGCTTCCCTGTCTTGTAAATGATGAACATGGTCAAGGTATTATGCCACTAAGGAGGGAAAGATCAGCAAAAGGCATAAAGTCTATGAAAGATTTCAGGGGTCTTTTTTTAGAGAAAAAGAAAGGGGCAGGTAAAATTTCATATCACCATACAAAAATATAAGGGCCAATAGACCCCCTAGTGACAAGAACACGCCAGAATTGTGCCTAAAACAGGATGATGATGGGTAGCAGGGGGTGCAGAAGAAAACACAGAATTCAGACCTTTTCCATTCCACCATTTTAAGGTGATTTCCACTGCCTGTTCAACAGCATTGACTATCTTACTGTACTTTTCATGGAGCCTGGGTTGGGCAGCCCTCAGAGAATGGCATCTCTTGACATAATCTTCCCAGACTACAGAGCTTGTTCAGTCAAGAGACTTGATTGAAGTTCCCTAGCTAAGGTGACACCTCTAAAATGAGTCTCCTACTTTGTGGGGGATGTGGTTTTATCGGTGGTGACAAGTAAAGCTGTGGAAGGCAATAAGTCTCAAGTAGGTTCAGGAATGCATGCCAAATGAAAGACAGCTGTCCAGACTTTTCCAGGGATACATTGACTGCTGCATGGCATATGCAGGCAAGCTAATATAGTATGTGTGGGAAAATATATGTGGAGGGAAATACTGCCATCAGCCAAAACAAAACTGTCTAGTCTCTTTATATGTAGTCCAGTTTTAATATAAGGTGGGCAGATCATTCCTATGTAACACGCTCCACCTTTTTGTCTGTTGGAAAAGACATTTAATTTAGTCATAATGTTTGAAATTTAGAAGTCAGAGACTGTGTGAATTTTCTGTATTATTTTACCCTTTTCACCAAGTGCTGGAAAATATAGAGAAGAAATGAAAAATTACACAATATTTCTGGTGTCACGAATTTTAATATTCCACTTTGTATTAAAAAAAATTCCCTGAGATACAAATGCTGATATATTCTGATAACCAGAAAATAAAAGCAATAAAATTACCAGTGTGGGAATGGAAAGGCAAACTAACTCTGTAGTTCTCCCCATGGGAGCATGGGGGTGGATGCACTGTCCCAGAAAAAAGTCCCTCTAAACCAGGGTCCTGTATCTGATCAGGCTTGCTGCAACTTCTTCACACTTTTGCCGAAAATATTTTAGGAACTTACTTTGGGCTCATACAATAAAATACTAGTGTTCTTTCTAAAACAGGAACAAAGCCTAGCAACAGCCTGTAAATCAGTTGTCTTCATCTGTTTCTTTCTAGACAGTCTTGCCATCACTTTCTCTTCTGTTTAACTTGAGCTTCTACTTTGTTTCTACCTAGCAGAAAACAGGTTTTCAAAAGACGTTGGGATCACGATCCTTAAGCCTATTACTGTCACCAGAAAAAAGTGCAGGTTGCATGTTATTAGGCTGACCTACATTCTACTCTGGCTGCAGAGCAAAGTACTTTTCTGCTCAAGGGCTTCTTATGCAATGCAGTAGTGGCTTTATCTGTGTGTGCTAGAGGTGTTATATGTACTCCTTGGCTACTGTGGAAGAAATGATAAGAGAATTCACGGGCTGGTTTAAATTTTATTCAGGAGATAAATTACTGTAACCAGAAAGGACTCCTAGAAAGCCTAAAAGCATGAAGAATTGAGCAATAGAAAACATGTCCAGGAAGAAACATAGCTCCTACCTTGGTCAGAAAAGGCTAATTACTTCCTCAGCTCATCTTTGCTTAGCAAGAGGCTGTCTGACCTGATTGTTGCATAAAGCTCTGTGTCTTAAGAACTAAGGGAGCTTTTCACTTAGCTACAAGTGAAGTTCAACTTCACATGATTGCTCGAGTATAACTGCTGCACCACTGTTCATGTGGATGAATTCAGAGCTGTGAAGGTGTAGCACCACAGACCTTATAGTGTTAACTAGTAACAGACCACAGTAAAGTTATATCTTGTCAAAATGCCTCAGATGGGCTGCTTTGCCTTTGGCAAACGTGTATATGCCAATATCAGAAACTACCTTGGGATTATTTCAATGTTGGTGTTGTGGGTTTTGTATTTGGGGTGTTTTGTTTGTTTGTTTAAAGACGTGGAAGAAGGTTGAATAACAGGCAGATCTTTAATAAAAATCAAGGTAAAAGAAGAAGGGATCCAAAATTAACTTTGAATGAATCATATCAGGTATTTAAAAGTGCATGTTTAAATTTTAAAACAGACTGCTTTCTGTGAGTTTGGGAATTTTAAATGAAAGTTAGTTCTGTATTCTAAGATGGAATGAAAACTAGTATGAAATCAGTATGATTTTAAAAAAAATTCTATTCCTACAGGGCTTTAAATGCAACCATCTTGAAGCAAGAAGATTTATATTCTATCTCATATGTCAAACTTAGTGATATAGAAACAAAACACTATGTCCTCAGTGGTCATGGATTAGCACCATCAGAAGCCATGCAGAAATTACTGTTATTACTCAAAATGTGTCTTGGTGGGAAAGCTCTTTTCCATAAGACCACCAGTATTCTCATGTAAAAGAACAAAAATAGCTTAGAAGAGAAAAATTTTGCATAGAGTCATAATTTCTTCCCATTTCTCACCAAAAGTTTGGCTCATTAACAAAGTGGGTTGCACCACCTCCCTTTTCAGAGCCTTTTGAATGATTCAACCTGAGCACAGTGAAGAATGCCAGGACTATTCGGGAATTTAATCCAACCGTTTAGAAGGGAGAAGATTTCTAACAAGCAGTGCTTACTTAAGCTTCTGAACAAGGACCTGATCTGACACCAGAACATTTGGAATAAATTCCTTCAAACAGATTAGGGATTCCTCACACGAGATGCATGGCCTGGTAAAGCATAGGTTTTCCATATGCACAGTTAGAACATTGCACCCTTAACATTGGCAATTTCTGTACTGGGGAACTCTTGCACTATTACAGATGCATTTCTACAGCTGTTGTGTTCTCTAGTGGCTTTCAGAATCCTAGTCCTTGCCATTTTAGTGTGCATTTACCCAGTCTCCACTATTCATTACAAAGTTGCAGAGCGTTTGAGGAACCATAAATCTCCCAAAATAAATTACTCTTCCATTTTATAGCTGAAGTGGTGTATTGTGGGTACCTTTTCAGTGAGAAATGCTGGATTTCAAACACATGGAGTAAACAAAAGGAGTCAAGAATCTGAAGCCACAGTTGCTGAGCCCCTCATAATGAACTACAACGGCCTTTGAAAGTTTCTGCTTGAATTAGGTGTATCATGTTTTCAATTAAGAGGAGAAAGCACCATTTCAACACATTGCATGACAAACAAAACTAAAGCTGCTACTATTCCTGTGCGGCTTTAACTGACATGACTGGTGATATGCTTGAAAAGGTCAGTAAGACCAGAGCAGACAATGCATATAACAGGAGCCTCAGCAGCAGTTTCAGAATCTGTAGCCTTTTTGCTGCATGATTCATCTAAAATGAATTGAATTCAAATCACTTTCCAGTTTTTGACATTGTACAATTTCTTTTTTCTGTTGGAGCCTGTCTGCATACCTCTTTGATGATCACAGGCAGTGTAGACATCTTCGGTTGTCCCAAAGAGTCCTGTCGAAGACATCAGGGGATCACAAACCATTGTGTTTGGCAGAAATGTGCTCTGAGTTACTGACTCCAGCATCACCTTAAGATATTAATACTTTAGTTGAAGATGAAAAGATAATATTAAGGACCAAAGTTTTAAGGCTGTAGGCATTATTCCCTAGCTGTGTATGTGTAGTTCTATGAGGTACCTTTGCCCACAGTCATTTAAGCTTCAGCTGAAGCTAATGATGATATTCTGAAAACTGCCATGAAGGAACTGAGAAATTTAGGAAGAAGGCAGATGACCAATATACTACAGATAGATTTTCAGTAAAAATGATTGTAATGACACATTACTAGGAACTTGATAATGAAATCTATGGATATAAAAATAAGAGTGAGCAATAAACCAATTAGAAACATATACATGATATTAACATTATGGCTTAATAATATCATTGGAAAAAAAGTTTTGAGCAAGTTCTCATACAAATGTATGAGAAAACATTGTTCTGGCCATAAGGATACTCACTTTGTCTGTAAGACACTGCCACAGTTGTCATCCACACCAGAGTGTGAGGAGATTAACAAAGTCTGAGAAAAAAATATGCTTTCAAAAGTGATTAGAAACTGAGAATTTATGTAAAAAAATGGTTATTCACTTCAGGAAAGAAGCTTTTTGCACAAAAAATAAGATTACTGAAGAACAAAGTGGTTACTAACTGGTGGTATTTCAGTGAAAGAAACAAGTGTCAGAGGAAAACATGATCTATGATAGGAACTAGAGCAAGTACAGAAGAAGAGAATTTTTGCTTATTCCATTTTCTTATACATATATCATGCATGTACACATGCATTAATTTCCTCAGACTGGAATGGACATGGACTTCCTGCTGTTGAATAAATACATGGACCGAAAGTCTGGCCTTTCAGACTTCACACAGAAGTGCTTAAACCAGTTTTGTCTCTTTTTTTTCCAGACCTAAGCTGCTTCTGTGTTTCATAACTAATTTTATCTTGGGTAATCTGTAGAAGAAAGACACCTGAAATGTTTACTAGAGTAACATGATCTGGTCTTAAAGATCAATGTGTGATATAAAACTACTACAAAGTCAAAAAATGTCCAAATAGCTGTGTATACTGAAGAAATGGGAAGCATTCAGAAGTTTTCACGGTCTCCAGAGTTGAAAGAAAAAGCTGATCTTAGTCTAAATTAAGCAATGATGAGATATGGAACATGGAAACATTTGGGAGTCCCCTGAAATGCTTTAATATACTAGAATTCATATATGTGGCAAGGTAATACTTCATGACACCACATTTTCACCTAATCATATTATTATGGATGGAATGTGGGAGGCAATATTTAGAGATTTTGTCAGTCTGGTAAAAACCTTCACTCTCTATGCATTTCTGCCAAATTTTTTAGTGTAGAATACCTCATACATACATATGTGTGTAATTGTGCGTTTGGATGAACACTGCATATTCAGTGAGCAATGCAGAATTTTACAGAATTCATACAAAGTGATGTATATGAAACTGCAAGGTCTCAGATATAAAAAAATCACCAGAATTTAAGTTCGTGATGGTTCCAGTATTCTTTTTTTTCATTCCTTTGACTGAGTTGCCCATACAGGAGAAGATATCTATTTACAAACAATGATTGCAAAGATAACCTATTCGAAGTATCTCTCTCACTCTATACCTCCCTCCCCACATGTAAGATTTTCCACAAAGAAATGTCTGGAATGAAATTCAGAATCCATGAAACAAGGAAAGTAGATTTGCTCAAGGAGAAATAATGTCTGGGAAGATGGATGAACTGTTACAAGCAAAGAGAGGTATGAAATAAATCCAAGGTCACTGGATTTAAAAAAAAAATTTGGAACAAGACACATGCTTGATGTTGTAGCTTATTGTTAGGGCGACTTATTTCTCCAAGCTGAGAAACTAAGCTTGTGAAGTGGAATGGCAGCCTCAGTCTCTGCTGAGGACTACATATGGGCTTGCAGGTGTGGGGCAAAGCTGCCAGCTTCAAATCCTACCAACAGGTTTGACCACATGCCTTACAGGCAGCAAAAACTATTTGGGAAGGAAAAATCCTGTTTTACTCATATGCAGTTTACACTGCTGCTCCCATATAGAGCTCTGGATGTTCTAGAAAAAATGTTAATTATTAATATAATTGAAAAAGATAATATATTTTCATGTATTTTATGCAAACAGGATATTGGTTTGGGCCATATTGAATATTATCTTACCGTTAGCAGGTGCTGCTTATGTATGCACATATCTGCTTAAATACACTTGGGGGACGTAGAAATTGGAAGAGTCAATCAGGTTTTTTCAAACAACAAGAGAGCTTTACAGCTCTTAGTTTTACTCCAGCTGGTGCTGGATTCACCAAATCTAGAAATTGGGGTTTACATTACAAACAATCTCTTTTGATTTAGTGAGACACGCCTAGATTGTTAACATATTAAAAGATGTTGAGGTCCATGCTTGTCTCCACCATTAATTCATTAAACCAAAGTCAACTGTTTGTCATTGAGAAAACTGGTGATGCACAAATGAGAATGGCAGGCAGTGCATCAGTTGAGTGTCTGATAAAATCGTCACAGCAAAACCATTTTGGCAGCCTTTAGCTCTTTTATAAACAACTTCAGTAAAGAAATGGAGCTTACTTTTAGGTAGGTGATTACTCCTTATGCAGCAATTAAGTCCCGAAGTAGGTCTTGGGAGCAAGGGGGAGCAGGAGGCTTCAACAGCAGCACAGCCCAGAACTTTAGAAATAAAGCCACCTGCAGGACTGTGATATATGGAACACCTTAGAGACAGGTTGGTTTGGTTTTTCAAGTTCTTATACACACCCCTTTTGATGACAGTGATAATATACAGTATAACGTAGCCCAGGACCAGGGGAAAAACATTCTCAAGTACAGAAGTTTTACCTTTATCCCATATTGTACTGAGGAGCCTGTGTCCGAATGGGAACGCTTTAAAGCATGGAGGGACCTTTTCAATGTGTGAAGAGATTCCATTTTATGGACTTGCTTGTTCATACCCTGTTTTAAACATTGTTTGATGTGTTTTCTCCACATGGCTGTATTAACCCCATTTGCTTGCATAGCCCAGGACTCGCCCGGGCTTGCTCAGAGCTGTTTTCCCGCTGGAAGTTGTTTACTCCCTCATTTTCCCGCTCATGCTGCCCTGATTGGCTGAGGAGTGCCGCGGTGCAGGATGAGTCCCCACTGGTCCCTAATGCCCGACTCCTCCCAAGTTCCTCCTCCTTTCCTGAGTTCTCCTACCCCGTTGTGCCCTGAGATGTCAATCCCATGCTCCTCCCCTGTTACCAAGCATTTCTGAAACAGACCCTATATAAGTCCCTGCTCTACCTCAATAAAGTGCCATTGCACCCCGATCTTCTCCATTGTCGGACTCCTTTGTGCAGTGTTGCTTTCCTATTCCCCTACCCACTGGACCGTGGCAATCTTGTTTTCTTCCTCTTTCTCTAAAAGTGTTGATTTATGCAAGCATGAATTACAGACCACCTAAGCAAACCTGGTACATGTAAGCACTTGAACTAAGGGGAGTGTTACTCCTTCTTTTGTGACCTGAGCATGTATGAGGAGCTATCAAATTTTGTTCAGAGCCCTCAAAGCTGAGGAATTGGCATTCTCACCTTTTGCATCTGGCAAAGACCAGGATGTAGAAAAGTGACTGGCTTAACTACTGTGGGTGTTAGAGAAAGGACAGTGCTCATCTTACGTCAGGTGAAATCTCTGTAGGGCTGAGCATTGTGCCTCTGAGACCACCAAAAACCTGCTGGGTTCTAGGCCAGATGCGGCTGCCTTAAGGTCTGAAATGGTCATGAAGATATTTGAATGTTCATGGATAGGATGCTTGGTATGATTAGGAGCAGCAGACCAGAGACACCAGAGGCAGCAAGAATGAATTGGAGAATGAAATGGGTACATCTAACATAATATGATACTTCTTTAAAATATAAATTAAGAATAGTTTTGGTCAACTAGATCGAAATATTTTTGTGCCCCAGAGTTCCATCTTAGATAGTAGTCTCTTGAGCGTGGCTGCATAAACAGCAAGAGTTTAAAATTTAGGCACATGTGACACCTCAACTCTTCTGAGACATACTACTTCTAGTACTGAAAATATGTTGTCTTTTATACATTTTAGGTGGGCTTTCTACAAAGATTTGCTTATTTGCAGAAATTTGTGAACCAGAATTTTCTTGGAATGGGGTTATGGGGGAGGGAGGAGTGGTTAAATGAGACAAATAATGGAGGCAGGAGCTTGCAGATTCCCTTTGGTTTACTTTTCTGCTTTTCTTTTGTGCTCTCACTTCAAGCAAAGGCATTTATTTCTCCATGACTGTGCTGACAGGTGCCTCATAAGCTTCACCCTGCTGCTGTCATGTGCATCTCATGCTAGTGGTGAGGCATGACCGTGGGGAGAAGCAACTCTGATGCAAGGTAATGTTGCATGGTGTGAATACAAGAAGTGACTCACAGGGAGTGCCACATTTCATCTCCCCAGCGCAATAGGGCCATGCCAAGAAACACTGCTAATGGAGCTGGTAGAGGGCCACCCAGGTGCAGTGTCCCAGCTGGCCATTTCAGAGCATACTGCACCAGGAGAATTACCTTCTGTTACACAAGATGGTGGCTGACAAACCTGGCTGAAGCTTAGCCTGCAGGCTCCCGTTTAGCAAAGCCTTAGCCATAGAGGACCTCTCCTTCCTTCTGCCCACTGCACTCTCCTTGCTCTCCTTTAGCTAGCTAAATTATCTCTCTACCCTTCGTTTCTTTTTTTTTTTTTCTTTTTTTTTTAATTTCCTTCTCTACTTACCTTTCTTCTATCTTTCTCTCTTAAAATTTCAAAATGGTAGAATGATGGAATGATAGAATTGCTTCTATCAATGGGGAAAATGCGTTTATGCTGTGGCAGTCATGTTGCAGGCAGATCTTTTCAGAAACCCAGTCCACAGTGCATGAGACCAAACAATTAAGTTTGTGCAACAGCTTATCATGTTCTCCAAAGCAACAGTATGATTTCCTGCAATGTGGCTTTTGC